TTGGCCACACCTTCTCTATGCTGTAGCTATTCCCTGCCCTGCATTGCAACTAATGGTTGAGATTTCCCAATCAGGTGGCATGCATTATAAAAATAATTTCTGTTTTTATTTATTCTATTGGCTCAAAGACATAATTATGGAACAGGGTATGATGAAGACTAAGTTAGACTGGAATCCGGGTCTCCTGATTTCATTTTGGCTACAAATCGTACATCATCACCCTGCACTCCACCTCTGGGCATGGGGTCCACATGTTCTGTACCTGAATTACACACTGTACAAGGAAAGCAGGAAGAGAGGATATTCCAATGAGTGATGTAGTCCACTCCATATTTGCACGAGAGACAATCTCCACTACTTTCTGATATATGGGATCCTGGAAGGGAGAGAAAAGCTGGTGAATGAATCTTCACAGCATTCCCAAGGCTGGCCATGGTGGTTGGGGATTCCTCTTTTGTCCATCAGTGGAATCCAAACAGGGAAATCCACTGTACCTGGCCTTGGTCAGTTCACCAATTCTGCATCTACTACATACCTTAGACCAGCACTGCCAACAAAAATATAACACAAGCTGCACATGAAATTTAAATTTTGTAAGGGCCACAATAAAAAGGTGGAGAGAGGTCAAATTAATTTTAATAATACATTTTAACTTAATATATCCAAAATGATATTACTTAAATATGTAATCAATGCAATACCTTGAGATATTTTACATCATTTTTTCATAGCATGTCTTCAAATGCAGTGGGTATTTCTCACACATGGCACATCTCCATTGGAAGTAGCATATTTCAAGTGATCAAAAGACATAAAGGCCTATTGACTACTGTATTGGATGACACCATCTTAGATTCTAGAAACTTATAGAAGAAAGTCCTAACGCCTGTCCTAAATGAACTACCAGTCAGCGGAAGATAAAAACAGAAGCAGATGTAATATGGCGATGGGAACAAGCCTTCAAAACTAAAGTTCATGTCAACAGTTGTAGGAGGAAAGTGGAAGGAAAAATGGTCTTACTTGTAGATAGTCAAAGAATGACCCAAAGAAAGGGGCACCAGAGCTACCCTGGAGTGGAGAGGCACTTTGCAATTGGGGAGTGTGAGTCTCCCAACATTATTTTTCTCTTTCAAGATTGTTTTGGTCATTCTTGGTCCTTTTAAATTCCATATTATTTTGAGGATGGGTTTTTCTTTTTTTTTTCCTTTTTGTCTTTTTTCGTGACCGGCAATGGATCGCAACCCTCAG